CTTTTGTTTGGACCTTTTTTTTTTTTTTTTTTTTTGCATTGGGATAGGGAAACGAATCGGCGCCATGTGGCGTGTTGGGTGAATGAGTGAGATCGGAGGGGAGAAGATCTCCCTCTTCTATCTCTCCCTCTCACTTTTTTTTTGACATTTTTTATTGGTTTTTGGCATTGCGATTGAGAATCGAAAAACGCCATGTGGCATGTTGGGTGAAAGTGTGAGATGGGAGGGGGAGGGAAATGGGAGATGGAGATCTCCCTTTTCTCTCTCTCCCACTCACTTTTTTTTCGACCTCTTGTTTTTTGTGCATTGCGATAGGGAAACGAATCGGTGCCATGTGTTAGGAACTGAATCGGGAACGCCGTACCCCCTCGAGCCTGTCCACATATAGGGTCGGGAGAGTACGTCGTCTCGAAAACGCCCTATCCCCTCTTGGTTTTTATGCATTGCGATAGGGAAAGGAATCGGCACCCCCACTCCCTCCCCTCTCTGAGAACCGGTGGGGGTACGGCGTTTTCGAAACGACGTACCCCCTCGGCCCTGTATGTGGACAGGCTCGAGGGGGTACGTTGTTTCGAGAACTTTGTACCCCCTCCTGTAACCAGACAGAGGAGGGAGCGGGGGTGCGGCATTCTCGAAACGCCGTACCCCCGCTCCTTTCACGCCCCGGTAAACGGGGGGGGGGAGGGGGAGAGGGGGGGGAGATGGGGGGGGAACGGCGTTTTCGAAACGCCGTACCCCCTCGACCCTGTCCACGTACAGGGCTGAGGGGGTACGGTGTTTCGAAAACGCCGTACCCCCTCCGGTTCTCGGGGAGGAGAGGGAGCGGGGGTACGGCGTTTAGAGAATGCCGTACCCACGCTCCTTTCGCCTCCCGATAACCGGTTGGGGTACGGCGTTTTCGAAACGCCGTACCCCCTCGACCCTGTCCACATACAGGGCCGAGGGGGTACGGCGTTTCGCAAACGCCGTACCCCCTCCGGTTCTCGGAGAGGGGAGGGAGCGGGGGTACGGCGTTTAGAGAACGTCGTACCCCCGCTCCTTTCGCCTCCCGGCAATCGGAGGGGGTACGGCGTTTTCGAAACGCCGTACCCCCTCTACCCTGTATGTGGACAGGGTCGAGGGGTTACGACGTTTCGAAAACGCCGTACCCCTCCGGTTGCTGGGAGGCGAAAGGAGCGGGGGTACGGCATTCTCTAAGCATCGTACCCCCGCTCCCTCCCCTCTCCGAGAACCGGAGGGGGTACAGCGTTTTTGAAACGCCGTACCCCTCGGCCCTGCCCAAGAACCGGAGGGGGTAGGGCGTTCCGAAAACGCCGCACCCCTCGGCCCTGCCCACCTACGGGGTACGACGTTTTCGAAACGCCGCACCCCTCGGCCATGTCCACCTACGGGGCCGGGGTACGGCGTTTCGAGAACGCCGTGCCCCCGCTCCCTCCCCTCTCCGAGAACCGGAGGGGGACGGCGTTCTCGAAACGCCCCCCCCCAAACGGCCCCGTCTGTGGAAGGCGTATGCCGAGCGACGCTCGAATGCGTCGGCGACTTACGTGAGGCGATAGTGAAAGGTTTGATATCTGAATGCGATCCATTCTTCTGTTTGGAATGTGCCTACCATCAGGAGGAACATCTGTTGTCCCGGAAAAGAGAATCTATAACACCTGCACAATCTATAGAGATAGGGAGTGGGCCCTCGATTGGGTGGGGGGCTACACGAGGCGGGATGTGGGGCCGATGTGTTTCTGAAGAACGCCACGGGTGATGACTGGTTCTGTGTAGGAGGGATTATTAAATCCAAGGATGAGAGGATGGACGGGCATGGACGGAAGTTCAGGAGGTTCTTTCCCACAACGGTGTCCGACGAACAAGGAGTGGATCATGCGAAGGCCGATCATAAAGTCAGCCTTGATTACAATTTGTTCAAGGGGTTTGGCGCTAAGGCTATTACCATGAAAGCCTTCGATGTGTCCCCGAAAGAAGACAGGAACGTGTTGACGATGCTTGGCCCCGTGAAATTCCTCAGCAAAACGAACGGGTACAGGAGATCCGGAAACAGTCCCACGGTAGAGGTCGGGCATCGTATGTCCCCGACATTCGTGCCTTTTGACACGCCGGACGAGGATCCCCCCGGTATAGCAAAGAGAGAGAAACAGCGAACGCCATATCGTTTTCCAACGCAGCAGACATCAGCGAACGGTAGCCGGCACCTCAACAAACAGAGCCAGCCGTGTCATCCACCTGACGAAGTGGCCCGTAGTCCTCCTATAGGTTCGTCCCACCGGAAGGAGTGTGCTGGACCGTCTCAGTTGTCCAGTCGGCAACACGAAGGCACCCCTGTCWTCACATACAAAAGGAAGGTCGTGGCAACTCCTTCGTCTCCCACTCGCCAGAAGGACGATGGTGTTGCCTCCCTGAGGGCGACGCTACGGGAGATAAGCGTCGGATCGAACGAGGAAACGGAGGATGATCCTAGGATTTGTGTTGGTCGACATCCACAGGGTAATCATGCCGTCGATGATGAGGAATGTGGGTTCGACGAGGACGAACTCGAAGAGGAGAAATGCGCGCGCGCGCGCGAGAGAGAGAGAGAGAGAGAGAGAGAGAGAGAGAGAGAGAGAGGGTCGTGAGGAATCTATGCACGACTGCGAGGGTGGGGAGTCTCGACAGTACTATGAGGAGGACGACGGGGGCGATGGAGAAAACGATGATGCCTATCCTGTCGTTGATGGGGGGATGGAAGGCAAGAAGGGTCGGCTGATGTGGAGGTCGATGAGGCAACAGGAGAGCGGTCGGAGGGCAGTGTGCAGAAAAGGAAGCGACAATCTTCAACAAGTCCAACGGCGGGGGCGGATAAGCACGTTGCGAAGAAACTCACTGTCGCTGCATCTCGACAGACACTCAGAGCTTCTCAAGAGGCGATCGCTGACAGCTTGAAGAAACGAAAAGGGTCGGCGTCAACCAGAACGACGAAAGCGAAGAAACGTTCACCGAAAAGAAAGCAGATGGTTGATGAGGGTGACTCTTGAGAGGATGCCGAAGGGGTTCTTCCAAGAGCTCTGTCGAAACAGACACAACCTTTCGCCAACACCCATGATGAAGCCATCGACACAGCACGGTGCTTCTTCTTGGAGTTCGATGAAGATGGGTTTGCGAAGAAGAAACGGGAACACATTGAAGTGGATGTCACGAAAATCTTGCCAATTCCTGAAAGTGACATCCTCTTCAACCATAGAACATTGGAAAAGACGTTGGTGCAATCCATATATGATGCGATCCATAATGCGGCCAAGGAAACCAACGGGAAGTGGGATATCATGACTTTCATCCTGACTCTCATTGTGCCCAACGGGGACGGGTCTCAAGGCAGACGGATCACACCGAAGCAATTCGACGTCGAACTAGCTTATACATACAACTGGTATGTTGTTGCTGGTCAGCACACGGCTGAGGCAATGAACAGATTCATTAAGGACAAGTCACCGGCCGAGAAAGTGTATGGCTTGAGGTCATACTCTCACGTACGAGTTGTCTACTTCGACGATGACACAAAGAGAGGATATCCGTACGTCTCGACGTTCGACAACACGAGGGAGGAGTGTTCCATCCCGAGATCGTTTTCGTCATTTGTGCGGTAAATTAGAACATTTTGGGATAAAAGGAATGACCAGATCCGTCCTCCAGGCACCGTGTCCCCGAATGACGTCGAGGGAATGAAACGGAAAAGGAAATGGGAAGCGTTCATGAACGCCGCCTGCAAAATGACACCTGATTTTGGTCTCATGAACTCGTCCCTGGAGAACGAGTACTGCAAGGACTGGACGAACAAGATGCGCAGATACATGAATCTTTCGCAGTGCGGCGAGACGGTATGGCCACTAGTACAGAAATTATTTGACATGTATGAGAAAGGGCTATTGCCGAGAATCTACGGTGTGAGATACATCGACGTGCCGGGGAAAGTGGAAGGTAGGCTGCCTGGGCAATACTTCCTCAAGGACAACTCCGGCAAAGAAGTCTTGTTCCACTGTATCAAGCCCAGAAAGGGGTCACCAGGCGCAACGGTGTCTATACCTGACTTGACGCCCACAATCTTTAAGCAATTTGGCGATATGACAGCTAGAGAGAAGCAAGTGGCGCTTCACCACATGATGCGTGGTGATGTCATCGTGTCATCACGTACGGTAGTTCATGGTAGATGGAATATGGCGGACCTGGTGAAATATACTCGTTGTGAAAGGTATATGGTCCATATGTTCAACTACATATTGTTCAAGGCCGAGGGAAGGTCAAAAGAAGAGTGGAACGCTGACCTCTTCATCGGTTATACGACCATCTGGGAGAGGTACAGCAAAAACGGCCTGACTGACGAGAAATGGACCGAGGAACGCGACCGCATCCCTGACGACAAGACGAGGAAGGTGCCGAGGCGTTTGGGTGGTCCTGATGAGGAAAATTGTGAGAACGGTGCGGGACTGAAGGCAACCCAAGGCATGTACAAGGAAGTCTCGTTCCACCTCAAGTGTTTCATTTACGAGGCGATCGACTGCTTGGACGACCTGAGAGCGGAGGTTAATCGAATATCCTCCAGTGCTTGTCACATCTTTTGGGAAGTGGGGAAGAGGATTACCACGATCTTGCCATTTGAAATCGAACCGAAGGGAGTGCTCACCGACAACGAGGAGGTTATTGGTACGGCGGGGGGATGAAGATACGGGCAACCATTCTTAATATGTCAACATCACCAAAATGTGTTTCGTGGGATGATGACGCATTTTCTGAACTGTACGCTTTCCTCATGACATGTTGTGGTGAAAATTGGACCTTCGTCATTTTCGCGCCGATGAAGCACTAGAAACAGGTGCCAGGAGTCGATAGATTCGCTCCGAGCAGCGAACGCTCATGTCGATGGAAACAGATGAAGACGAAGACTTGGATATCACAACACTCACGCCGAAACTCGTGCCAGGAAAACCGTTACCTTAAGGCTTTGCTCAAGACCCTTCAGTGTCATCCTTGCTACAAGACAAGTACAAGGAGTCATCGAAGGAGGATTGGGGTCATCATATTCTCTTGCATGAGGGCGTGTTCGAACCGTGCGTGTTTGCAGGCAAGTGACACATGGCTGTGAAGACAAGAGACCGCGGGTGAGTCGCGAAGGAAAGAAAGGACACTGCAATATGGCACAGCATGACGGAAACGCAACTTTTTCGGCGAGTGGAAAAAGAAAATGCCGGTGCAGGCGAGGTGGCTATAGCGGCAAAGGCGAAAACATTGTTTGAGCATCTGCGTGCGAACAAATAACTGGAATTCAGCACAAAGTTCCACGACCTTGCATCAAGTGTCTCGTACGGCTCCATCGATTGGAAAGTCGAACAGGCGCCATCAGTACAAGGAATCGAAAGCATCAACTCTCTGAAGACTCAAGACGTCATCGCGTCTAGTACCATCGTCGCGATTTCTAGAGGGGATGCAGCCTGCCAAACGGACACACCCATCTACCCCATAGATCGGCGTAGTAGTCAATAATCTCAGGCGTTAAAGCACAATGAATTAGAATTGCGACACCTCCTCTAGAACCTTGTGCAGGGGACCATATTTGTGGACCATCCCACCAAGTACCAAGCTGTTTGATTTTATCTTCATTCAGTTTTGTTTCCTGTAGGCAAGCAACATGGATGTTTTTGTCATGAATCCAGGTTTTTAACCGGTCTTTCTTGTGTTTGCCTGGCCCTACAGCCAGTCACATTGAAACTTTTCTCCCCGTCGGCCTTCAAAGCTCTCGTTTAAATAATTGTTACAACCGTCAAAGGTCGCGCCTAGACCCGGATGGTTTAACTTTTAGTACCCCTGGGCCGTGGTCCGATGTTGGTCCTTCGGGACATCTGTTGCAAGATGAGGCATTACAGGGAGGATCAGTGTGTGCCGCCTGAGTAAAGTAAGCAGGCGTGGACTATGGCACGGTCGATAGCAATGCCGAAGAGCAGAATGTCGGGCGGACTCGGGCATAGGGGCGAAGGACTAATCGAACTGTAAGGTAGCCGATTTCCTCGGCAGTCTCCCTCAGAATCGGAAACCATCAGGCAAACCGCTGCGTTATCGGGCACTGGCACTAGGGAAGCCGCTAAGAGAAGGAGAAGACCCGATCGGACCTGGCACGGTTTCGCGAACAAATACAATCGGAGTAGGAGAGGGTGGAAGGCAATACCTGGAGCAGCGGGCCGGAGGAGGAGCTAAGAAGGAGACGGGCGCTGGGACAGACGAAGGGAGGCAGTGGGCGACAAGCGCTGGGACCGTGAGGCCAGGCAGCGGGCGAGGCGCAGCAGAGGAGCGACGAAGGAAAGGTAAAGGATAGAGCGGTGAATGAACCTGGACGTGAAATGGTGTCGGGTGCGTGCAGAACTAAGGATGGGCTGGCAAAGGAGTGCCCAACTGTAGTAAAAGTTGCGAAAGGACGGGGCGGACCTGGCCATCGAACTACGCTGGGTGTCGTGGGAACGCTGCGGTCGGCAGCTGCGCTAACAGCTTGTAGAAACGACGAGTCTGGTTGGAGAGGGGGAATCCGGGCGCAATTTCGCGTCGGGTGCATCCGGGGGATGGAGTGATGGATATGGCAGTACAGAGAGGGAGGTTTCTCCGCCGATACTAAGTGGAAACGGGTGAGGAAGGGGGCTACACCGAGGTTTTTGCCTAGGGCGAATTTATTTAGTGCAATCGGATTAGGAGGAAAATTAGTAGGATATGAGGTAGGGAGGAAAAGTGTTGCGCAGAGCTGTGGCGGAAGGAGGAAGATGATGGACCGTGCATATCTCTTCCGATTCTCAACGGAATCAGGCAGGGGAAAGTGCTTAACCGGGATTTTTTGACAGGGCGAACTCGATTGTGAGGTTAGTTTTAGGAGAGAGTCAATAAAATAGGAGATAGTTGAGGAAACGGTGCGGAGAGATGCTGAAAAAGGGATATGGTGAAAGCGGAGAAAACGGCTTCCTCGCTCGATCCTTGATGGAATCGAGCAAGGAAAGAGGATGAGTCGAGGGTTTTGGTCGTCGTGAACTCGATGGCACCGGTAGATTTAGTATTGAAAGTATGAATTTAGCGGCGTAGTAGTTTGGGGTTGCGCCTGGTATGTTGGCTTACATTTGAACCTGACCGTGATGCTGGCCAGATACTTTCACCACTGAGGACGAGCGTGGCTGCGGGAAGGAGGAACGATGCGAGAGTGCAGGGTATAATTCCGCTTTCTAACGAAAGATTATTTCGATTTTGCCCATACTTTCGATGGGAGTAGCAAAGGAAGTGAGCAGTAAGGTTGGCGACTTAACTGTTGGTGGGAGTGCGGCTTGTTCCGCTACACTGATAGTAAGAAAACGAAGAACGACGTTGAAGGCCTACTTGTTGGCTGCCATGCAACTCCTCCCGTCGATCGAGAAAGCAGGGAGAAGAGTCGCGAAGCTGCATACGTACATGCGAGTCGTGCGCTGCTATCCATTGGAGCAGTGGGGCGTGTGGGTGAACTACAAGAGTGGAAGTCCACCTGCTAGTCGTACGTTGCATATCCAATCTGTGGCGGTGGAATGAGGTCAGTTGCGAGCTTGAAAGTTATGTGATGCCCGGTGAGCTGCCCACCGGTTAATCGAAGGGGTGAGGAGCGAGCTGCAGAGCTGAAGGCTCGTTTGTTGACCGGCAACGCCGTCCGCTGCCTACTCTGTTATGAATGAAGGAGTGAGGAGGCAGCCACAGGCCTGGAGACTTACTTGTTGGCCGATGCATTGCCTAGCCTAACGAGGGAAGTAGCATCTCTCGATCTCACTGCGTGCATGGTTGTTGTTAGTTGGTAGAGTGATTTGCGTGGTTAACTCCGTTAACGAGCAAAGACTCAACCTGATGAATAGCTACGCAGGGATCTCTCCTCGTGGCTTGTTCCGTAAGAGGACTGTTGGACGACTAGCCAACGGACAAGCAGAGGTTGACAGATTGAGAGTTCTTTCTTGATTCTACGGGAGGTGGTGCATGATAGTTCTTAGTTGATAGGATACTTCATCTGAGTAATCCGTAACTTTGTCTGGATCCTAAGGGTGAAGACAATGACTATGCCCTGCCGGTCTTCTCGATTTAAGAAAGTGGCCGCCTTCGTACACTATTATGTTGGTGACTGTTGTGTTTTCAACAGCTGCTACGAATGTGTTCTTTGGGGGCCATTGCAGACGGTTATCACTATGCGTAGCCACTGAGTACACAGCGCCTTGTTGTTCTCTAACTGCACACACGCGAAGTAGCTGTTGAGCATGTGTCGAGTATCTTGTTGTGCCCTCGCTGTGTGACACTGCTATTTCTGCAGTTAAGCATTACACACTGTTGCAGTAGCTTGCAACTGCTATGCACTCAACGTTTGGCCTATTTTTCGAATAGAACACGGACAGAGTCTACACTGTGCGTTATTCAAAAGCAGCCTTCTAACGGTGTGACAACAATTTGGCCAAGGGGAGGTACAGTGACTCTGAATAGGTGATCAAATTTTGTGAGGGGGGTCTTTGCTGCGAGTGGGAGAATCATCAGGGAGTCAACTGCAGATGATTTTTGACTTTGTTTGACCAAGCCGCTGCACGTTTTGGCTACCAGTGTGGGGCCCTAAGGCCCATCGAGATTTCAAGGCCCTCTCCTGAGAGTTGAGTCTGTCCCCCTCTTGTATCTCGAGAGTCTCAAACCCCTCATTTTGTCCTTCTTACTCTCAAGTCTGATCCTGGTTAGGAGAGGAAGGCGGCAGGCGGGATTGCAACCCGTAGGACCGCAGCAAGACTTTGTGAGGAGTAAGTCCACCGATTGCGGGAGCTCTGCCGGAACTCAGGAGGATTTCTTAAGGCAGGGAATTAAAAGGTAATCATTGCTTCCACTCTATAAACCTAGTTATAACCCTTATCTGTATTCCTTGCTATGTTTTGGATGAGTATACTATGTGCACCCCTACTTTGACTTTTCGGTTTGACTTTCAGGACACAAACCAGATTAAATAAAGGAATGTATGACCAATATCAGTTTCAATTTTATTGTTTGACTTAAAGAAGATTGTGGGATTGCATCTGGGAGAAGGATGGGAGGAACGTTGTATTGATTGAGAACTGTGTTTACTTCTCAAGATTTATACAAAGCCAAGTTCATAAATCTTGGAATAGCGCTTTCTCTACGGGAAGCGCTGCCGAAATTTCTACAAATCTATGGAGCTAGTTAAATTTTGTCTTAGTTGAACTCAGGTTTGCTCTTGGTTCATATCTAACTTAGTAAAAATCTGGAAAGACTTGTTTTCTAAAAGGAGTGCTGCCCAATTTTTTACTAATTCAGGGAGATAGACAGAATTTGACTTTCCAGAGTTAGAGTTTGGATTTTGGTTTCATATATGAGTTATTATAAATTCTGGAAAGACATTTTTCCTACGGAAAGTGCTGCCGAAATTTTCTTAGTTTAGAGGATTTATATTATATTTTGACAGGTGGCAATTCTGACAATCCACTCTATATAGAGGAGATTTTGTCAAAGGTTTACCTTTTCGTTAGGCACTTACTTAGGGGTAGACTCAGGATTAGTTAAGTAGAATGATTCTTGGTGAAATCGTGATATGCAGATTACTCTCGATTTGGACTTATAGATTTAGCTTGGGGATTGGTCTGTCTTGTGTTACAGGTCCTCTTGAACGTTTGATTCGAAATCAGGACTAGATTCAGCTTGATCCTACAAGGATCACCTTCTGTTATTACTAATAACAGGTCGGTTGCCGATTCGTCGGTCTACGACTCAACTTCAATTCATCCTCAATACTCAACCTAAAAGGCTTTAGCCCTGGTGATTTTTGTTGTTTTATTAAGGTTTTCACCTGCACTTTTATTGAACGGTCATTTAACAAAGGTACTGAGTATTTAATTATGGTTGGTTGGATAAAGGATGGGGCTTGCATGGCTAAAGCGAGGGGTACGAATATAGAGATTGATTGAAGTTGACTCCGTG